AGCACTATTATACTTACAGGGAACCGATAATTTACGAATTAAGTTACAGAAAAATCTTATGAACGCTTAAAAAACCATAAGGTTAAATTTTGAACTAAGCAACTGTAACTGCCTTAAGTAATTTTTGGGATTATTGCACTATCAATGAACGCCGATAATATTTAACGCTAACACTTTATATGAACTAAAAGTGAGATAAACATATATTTCTATMTCATTCATAGTTTAAAATTAAACCAAAATACTTTCGATGACTCAAATGGTCCTAAACACGGACCTAGAACCAAGAAAATGTTACTCGGGATAATACCTACTTAGTTTTTTAAATATATTGATTTATTAAATGGATTATATTATGATCAGTATCCTCAATATCATTATTTATTACCTAGTTATTAAATAATGTAGTACATTAAGTTGCTCAATATTTTTGTATCCTTTATGGCGATGTTGATATATATAATATTATACAAGTATATATTGATATATTATAAATACAAACATTTAGTTATGTAGGTATCATTATAATTTCTAGGTACATAATTTTTTTTTGCTTTGCTCACCAAGTACAGGTACATTAATAAAATAATACAAAATAACCATTGTACATTTTGAACATTATTATAAGTTTATCATATAATATAATTTATAATTATATAATATAATAGTTGGTTTCTAAAATAATCTTTGTACTTACTGACTTGATTATAATTAAGTAATATATGTTATGTACTTACCTAAGTGTAATTAACAATCGCTCTTCAACTGATATAGCTAATCGAAAATTTGTATCTCTTTTTTCTAAATTCGGCCTCACTAAGTCTGAAAGAATTTTGAAAGATCCTTGTGACATTCGGTAAAAATCTTTAAATTTTTCTGGGTACATTGAAARTTCACTTGAGACTGAAAATGTACCTAATGTAGGTGCATTATTTCTTATGAAAGGATGTACCCAATATTTACGTTTATTTTTTTTTTATTAATGTTGTTTACTAGTAGAAGCATTAAAACATCTTCATCAGAACTTGATGATGACATTATGTGTACTCATATAAATGTACTAATATTATGTAGAATTTAATGTTTACGTGTGAGATATGTKCCTATTATTATTATAAAAACTAATATAAAAGAATAATATAAGATAATAATAATAAATAAATAATAAATAATAATAAAAGACAATAAATTTTGTTCATTAATAAATTATTGAAAGGATCCGCTGCACTGTTTTCGGCTTTGTGTGCTTAGGCGTGATTTTTTTTGTCGGTATCATCTCGATGATAATATAAATAAATATGATTAGAATCATGATAGAATATTTATTAGGTTTGTTCCAGCATAGTGTTGGTAACTAGTTATAATTGTTAGCAACATAAAATCAACGCGCATGCGTCTAACACAACAAGTTTGCAACCAGTGATCTGCTGGAACAGTTTTTGGCTGAAAAAGTTTTCGGTTGTGGTTATTACCATATACCAAGGTATATTACTGCRTTAACGTAGGTTGCTTATCAATTATACGGTATTTCTTATCACTTGCCGCCAAAATTGTATTATCACTATTATCATTTACCACGATTAATCGTGCCAACTGCTATTTACTACTTTAGGTACTAGTTTACTACACAAGAGTCAAGAGTGCAAGACGTCTGACGTAGGTACCTACAACCAACACAACATCAAAAAATGGAAAAGGTTTATACAGGTTAGTAAAATGTAATTAATTTGAAAACATAAATGTCCATTGTTAGACAAACAAAACAGTTTTGTGCTATTATGACGAGCTCTGTACTAATTRGTATTACAACGCAGTACTATTAYAATTATAAACATTTTAATTTATTTTAGAACTAAGTGAAATGATTGTGATGCGAAATCCTCCACAGATTCCAAGCAATTCAAATTTAACCACAGTTGAATATACACATTGGTCTAGAAATGTGACACTCAGACTGATTGATGAATATGGTAAAAACTACAAAGACGTAGGAAATAGAATTCGGAGTTACAAAATTTTGTATGAAATGATTGCTGAGATCTTAAACACTGAATTTCAACTAAAATTAACTGGGTCACAAGTAAATAATAAATTTCAAACATTAATAAGATCTTATAAAGCTGTTGTTGATAACAATAAAAAAACCGGAAGAGGGAGGAAATATTTTGAATTTGAAGAGCAGATGGATAATATTTTTCACAAATCCAAAAGAATAAACCCTGAAATTTTGTTGACAGAGACTGAGGTTATCAGAAATACTCCTAGAGCCTGCAATGACACACCAACCCTGCAAAGAAGTGTACATTAAGTGATTGATGAACCAGATGAATTTATAAATGAAGCTTCTGGGTGTGTTGAAGATGAGAGGAAAACAGCAGTTAAAAAGACAACAACAAATTTGAAGAGAAAAGGAACCAGAACTGATGTACTCGAAGGTATAAGAAGCGACAAACAAAAATTTWATGAAAATTATATTCAAATTCAAAATATCTAAATATTGCTGAGCAAAAAAGAAAAAACGATCTACTTGAGGAAAAAAATAAGCTGCTCAAGGAGTACTTAGCAAATAATAGTAGATAAATCAAACATTTATTTAACTGGGATTAGAAGCTAAATGTGTTAAAGGTTTTTATTGTTATTTTTAATATTTTTATTATTATTATTCAGACTGAAGTTATTGTTTTAAATGATATAAAATGTATGGTAAATTTTAATGAAATTAATTAATTAATACAAATTAAACTGTTGTTTTATTTAAGCTATGTAAACATTCTTTGCATTAAATAGTTTCTGTAGGTTGCTCCTTCAGGGACATCTCCTTAAGCATTGTCATCATCCAGTTGAATGTCATCGCCATTATTAATTTCATCCTCATTTTCAATTATTATTTGAAATTCATCGTCAATTGCCAAGTTATGTAATACACAACAAGCTCTGATGAAATGCACTATATGCTCAATTTTGCGCAGCTTGCAGTGGTAAAGTTGCCTAAACTTCTGCTTGAGCAAACCAAAACAATGTTCAATAACGTACCGACATGATGATAGTGTTTTGTTGAAGTTAATTTGTTGACGACTCAATCTACCATTATCCTTGAATGGTGTAATAAGATTGCGTAAGCAAGGATAAGCACTATCTCCAAGAATCACATTCTCCTGACATAGAATTCCCAAGTTAGTAGCTAATGGTGACCTCCTAAAAACTCTGGCATCATGGACTGACCCAGGAAACCCGATAAATATACTTCTTATTTTATTTCTATRATCACAAACAGCTTGCATCTGTAAACAATATACTTATAATTAAAATTCTGTAAGAAAAATAATACATACAAAAAAATACATACATGAATAGAAAAATATTTTTTTCTATTATAGTAGGAATCTGGGTCTGAGGAAGGCTTGTCAATACGTATATGACTTCCATCAATAGCCCCAATGACATTAGAAAATCCTTTCATTTGGAAAAAGTTCCTTGTTTCCTGTTTTTCTTCCTCATTCGGCCAAGTTATTATGGTACTAGCCATACGGCTTATAACATGTGTCAGACGTCTCACAACTCTGAACAGGCTGCTAATTGTTATACCAAACCTGTCAGCAACATCACGGAAAGAAGCAGTCTGATGTCCAGCAAACCAAAGAAAAATTAAAATCTAAAACAATTTAAGATAAGTTTCAGAATCAAAATAATAATAATCATTATAGTTGTTAAAGCAATACCTTCATAATATGTATATATTAATTTAATTAAATTTAACACCTTTATTTATACAAATAGATTGATAAGGTCTGTCATAGATAAGTTTTATAAATTAATTTTTTAATCCAATTTACAACATTAGAATTTAACTCTTATCTTAGGACTTAAGGTTAGAGAAAATCATGGCTGGGCATTAACGAGTTAAAAGTTAAAATTAAGTTAAAACGTTAAGTTGATTTTAATTAAGTTAATTAACTCGTTACTTTTTTTATAAATTGACTTTTAACTTAATAAGTTACTTTTTTTAAGATTAACGTGTTAACTTTAAGTTAATTTTTATTTAAAAGTATCTAAATTAAGTTRATTTTAGTGCAAAGAATAATCAAATTATTAATAAGGTTTAGTTTGGGAAAGTAGGTTTTTTGATAGCTAGTTAATACTTTTATGTATCATTTTAAAAAATTTCCCCAGTAATTATCTTGAGCGTAGAGAAACTAATATTATGTGTGCAATTTTTTATTTTTGCAAATTAGAAAATTTTAACTTTAAACAAGTTAAGTTACTTTTTTTTTCAAAGTTAACTTTTAACTTAACCAGTTAACGAAAAAAAATATGATTAACTTTTAATTTAACATAACTTTATTATTTTAAAATAACTTAACTTAACGAGTTAAAAAAAATTGTTAACTTGCCCAACCTTGGAG